GGGGGTCTTCAAAGTCTGTCATATTCTTTGGGATAGGGCCTAGGCCAACCCCCTTGTGTCTAAGCTCAGGGAGTATCCCTGCATGTGGGCTCCTAAAGTCCATTCCTATGGTAGTGATAAGTACTGATCTACTACAATAGGCCCCATAGATTTCCAAGGTCTCCTTACTGACACCCACATTCAGGGGGTCTGGATCAGTCCCATGCTGGTTCAGTCTGGGGACCAAGAGTTTTCCCTTGTTCGGGTCAGCTGTTTCTGTGGGTTTCACCAGCCTGGTATGAACACCTTTGCTTCAAGGGTGAGATTCTTAATTATAGCTGCCCATTTTCCACTGTGAAACTTTAGTTCATCAGGGTAAGATCCTGAAACCCAAATCTGCCTTCTCTTGGTGTTGTTTTCAAAGCTAAACAGTGCTTCTTGGATGCAAGCAGTCTTAGTGTTTGGGATTAGATAATAACAAATCCAAAAGATTTTAGAGAACATGACGAAGTTTTGAATATATAATTCTGCAGAAAAATAGTCACATAGACAAAAGCAAAAAGTAGCTGGAGCATTGCTGTGGCAACAGACAGTGTCTTTAGATGTTCTGCCATCACCCCTCAGATCCCCATGGCACTGGCCTAGGACACAGAGCCTCATTCAATGGACACTTTGGAGCCTGAGACTCCTCTTGCCTCTTTTCCAGTCCTAGCTCAAGCAAGTAGAACTTTTCCCAGCTCTCAAGAGTCCTGAGACAAGCAGGCTGCAGCCAGAGGAGGGAGGGTTTAATGTCTGCAAAGTAAACTCACACTGAAAATGAACCACAGCAATCTATTTCTCACGTGGCCTGAGAGTTAGGAATCAGCAGAACTGTATAGAGTGTACTGAGGAGCAGACCAGATGATACCCGGCTTCTCACCTTTGGTTTGCTTGTTCATTTGTCGAGATGGCTTCCTCCTCTGCTTCCTGGGCTGACCTGGAATTCACTGTGTAGCCTTAGGTGGCTTTGAACTCAATGCTCCTCCTCCCAAATGCTGGGGTTACAGATGTGAACCACCTTGGTCGCCCACCACTGCCTTTCTGAAGAAGCCTTTCGTTGTAAGAGCCTTTGAAGAAAATGAGGTCCTTGGCTGAGTTTTTCCTTTGTCTGGCCATTTGTTTAGATGTGTTGTAATTGTTCAGGCTGCATCTCCAACTGCAGTCCCTCCCCAAAGCTGTCTCCCAGGAGACTCTTGCTCAGCACCTGTTCTCAGGGTGGATCCTGACCTGTCCTGGGGGAGGGGGACTCTGGAGCCCTGATTCTTGGGTATCCCAGGGGTTCTTGAAGGTAGTAGATCTGTCATAGCCTATCATAAAGGCTATACTGACTAAATCATAGACTGATGGATAACAAAAAACAAATGATACATCTATTATTGTCATTGGCTAAGTGGCATTTCATTTCTCGCATCTCAATCTTATAAAAAACATACGTTATTTCAT